CTCCTGCCATCCCCTCTGCAGGTTGTCCGCAGCAGCCTCGAGGAGCAGGGACTGCGCGTGCACGGTGTGCGGCTGCACGGCTCGGCCGCCAGCCACGTGCTGCACCCCGAGAGTGGCCTGGGCTACAAGGACCTGGACCTGGTGTTCCGCGTGGACCTGCGCAGCGAGGCGTCTTTCCAGCTGACCAAAGAGGTGGTGCTGGCCTGCCTGCTGGACTTCCTGCCGGCCGGCGTGAGCCGGGCCAAGATCACACCCCTGACACTCAAGGAGGCTTATGTGCAGAAGCTGGTGAAAGTGTGCACAGACACGGACCGCTGGAGCCTCATCTCGTTGTCCAACAAGAGCGGTAAGAACATGGAGCTCAAGTTCGTGGATTCGGTCAGGCGCCAATTCGAGTTTAGCATAGACTCCTTCCAGATCCTCCTGGACTCCCTGCTGCTCTTCAGCCAGTGCTCCTCCACACCCATGTCCGAGGCCTTCCACCCCACGGTGACAGGCGAGAGCCTGTATGGGGACTTCGCAGAGGCCCTGGACCACCTGCGGCACCGCATCATCGCCACACGCAGTCCCGAAGAGATCCGAGGGGGCGGCCTCCTCAAGTACTGCCACCTGCTGGTGCGGGGCTTACGGCCGCGGCCCAGCACCGACGTGAGCGCCCTGCAGCGCTACATGTGCTCCCGCTTCTTCATCGACTTCCCGGACCTGGCTGAGCAGCAGCGCATGCTGGAGCGCTACCTCGAGGCCCACTTCAGCGGGGCCGACTCGGCGCGCCGCTACGCCTGCCTGGTGACGCTGCACCGGGTGGTCAACGAGAGCACAGTGTGCCTCATGAGCCATGAGCGCCGCCAGACACTGGCCCTCATCGCCACGCTGGCGCTCCAGGCGCTGGCCGAGCAGGGCCCGGCGGCCATGGCCTCCCTGGCCTGGCGCTCCCCAGTCCCTGATGGGGTCGTGCCCACCACTGTCAATTACTATGTGACCCCCGTGCAGCCTCTGCTGTCCCGGGCCCACGCCTCCTATCCCACCTGGCTGCCTTGTAACTGACTCAGACCCTGGCCAGAAAGGACTAGACCTCTGCAGATGGAGTGGGGCCTCCAGAAGTGCATGGAGAACATGACCAGAGACAGGCAGCCTGTGCCAGGTAGCCCAGCACTGCTGCAGCGTTGGGCCTTAAACTGAACAGACCAGACTCCTCCCCCGAGTGAAGCCCCTGTGGGCTGAAGGCCAAGCTTAGATTCTTGGTAAATGGACCTTTTGGTTATTTGCACTACACTTTTGGACCAGCATGATTGTGGGGTGCAGGGGAAATTCGTCTTGGGGGTCAATTGCCTTCAGGAGACAATGTTTGGGATGGTAGCTTCAATGCCTGTCATCTCAGGTTGATTTCTGTGGCCTAGAAGGGGTCTTTTTTGGGTAGGGCCAGCCCACAGTGGAACCAGCAGCCTCCGAGGGCCTGCAGCCCACACAGTGGCTAAAATATGGTATGTTATGGGAACTACTCACTTTGGGTTGGGCTGGGCCACTAACTAGGAGGAGGGAAACTGAGGCATGAGGCAGATAGGTTTGGAAAGGGATAGGTTTAGCTCAGTCCCCTAACACCTCTACCCCAAGCTGTCGGTTGAGGTGTGCGGTGGACAGGAACTAAGCAGCCTGGGGTGGGACACAGCCCATGCCCCTGCCGGGGTACAGCTCCCTTCCCCCATGTCCTGAGGAGCCCTCCTGCCTGGGAGCTTGTTCTCCAGAGGGTGCTGGGTCCAAAGTAGCCACAGTCAAGTGCTCCCACCCCTCTGGCCTGGTTACAGGGTCCTTGCGAGGGGGAGGAGAGCCACGCCCCACTTCCCTTCCCATCCCTCTGTACTTGCTACTATCTAGCACTCTTAACACCTGCCAATAAAGATTGTCTACACTGAAGCTAGTACCATGCTTTCTCCTGGGAGAAGGACCTTCCACAGTCTGTGGGGTCTGTGGCTGCTTCCCCCAGCCTGAGTCTGGCTTGTATTATAGGAGGGGACATGTGGCGAGAGGAGACATTTGGAGGGCAGGGTCTGAGTCCTGGGCTGTAGCTGGGGAATGCTCCTCCTTCCCCCAGCACCAGCCCAGCTTGGCAACTGTCCTAGGAGCCCCTGTCCACACAGGTGTGACTTGCCCCTGGACATCACCTCAGCAAGTCTCTTGCTAAAGAGCAAATATTTCAAAGTTTCCTACCTGGAGTCCTAATGACCCTGGACCTGGCCTCACACTCCAGTGCTCAGGGCTGCTTGACCCCAGCCCTGCTCACCCTTCCCTAACCCTTCCCAGGAAGCAGGTGGAGAACAAGTAGGGTGAGTCTGGACTGGAGACCCACCTCCTAGTGGTGGCAGCTGGGACTGGGAGGCTTCTAGGACCCTCAGAGCCAGAGCCGAGGCTTGGCCTCCTTGCTGGGAAAGGTTCCCTCAATCCTCCAGCTTCCTCTCTCACCCCCTACTGCTGACGGACATACTCTGGCTTGCCCTAAGCAGGTCCCCTGGAGGGGTAGGGACTCTCCTTTCCAAACGCATCTGGGGCCTGTCTGGGAGTGAGTGCCAGCTACCAGCCATAAGCTCTCAAGCAGGCTGATGCCTCAGGGCATCAGCCGCTCACAGGCATGGATGCTGCCCACTGTTTACCCAGCCTCTTTGATCCAAGGGTTGCAAAGTCCTTAACAGATTCAGCCTCATTAGCAGCCTCTGAAGTGCTGGCTTTGATGGTTCCAGCCAGGGTGGAAAAAACAAGGCCGCAGAGGAGGCCCCTGGTCAGCTGGGTGAGTCCAGCCATCTCACCTGCTCACTGGGTCCCTGCTGGGCTCAGAATGGCTGGAAGGATGAGTGGAAAGGCTTGCTTTGCTTGGTGACTGAAAGCAGCCTCCCACCCCACGCTGGCCGTGCCTACCCAACTAGGGTCCTGGGATGGGGGGACTAAATTGGTCCCAGCTCCTGCTTTGGGCATGAGGGGAATGCTCCCAATGTAAGCACACAGGCTTAGCTTGTTGGGGTGGGGAGTGGGGTTCACCTGGACGTGCTCGTTTCAGAGGGGAGAGAGCCAGAAAGCCACGGCACACGCATGTGTGCACTGGATTCAGCCCACGTGTGCCAGCCACCCCTCCAGGGGTGGGAACACATCAGCAAACAAAGGACCAAGATCCCTACCCTTGTGAGGATTACATTCTAATGGGGTAGAAAGAAAATAAACTAAATTATATAGTCTTAGAAGGTCAGCAATGGCTAAAAATATACATAGCAAGGTAAGGGATTGGAAGTGCTGGGTTTGCAATTTTAAAAAGGGTGAACCTCCTTTAAAGGGTGACATTTGATTGGACAAAGACTTAAAGACAGTGTGAAGCAAGCCATGCGGATGTCTGGGGAAAGAGCATTCTGGGCGGAGGGGACTTGTCAATGTACAGATGCTCCCGGCAGGTGTGTCTGGGGAAGGGCGCACGCGCCTGATGGTGTCCTGCTGACCTTGTGCAGGCGCGTGCGTTCCCCGTGAGGCTTGGGAGACAGGAGTTTCCCACTAACAACTATCACTTTGCTAAGTTCTCCCCAACCACACCCTCTCAGTGCACCCTCCCAACAGCTCCACGAGAGAAGAGCAAGAATTTCCATTTTACAGACAAGGAAACTGATGCCAGAGAGGTCAGAGGTTTGTCTGCCCCCAGAGCCGTTGCTGTTAACCCCTGCACCATCCTACACTCTGATTTCACATGGATGAGCGTGACAGTATGTCTCCTGTAGATACATGTGACAGAAAAAGAGTTTGCATTACTGTTTGCCAAGTTTGTACATTTTCTTAATGCAACTGTGACACCAACCATGGCTTGTGGTGACTATGTCAGAGGCCCATGTGGCAGCAGGTGTGCCCGGGGGTGTGTTTGGGAGAGGTGTAGTGTTTCCGGGTGTGAAAAAAACACTGACTCAGTGGTTGGCATTGTTCTCTCATGGACAGTTCCTGCAGCCATCTAAGATGCCAGGACAGGAAGGAATCAAGAACTGGGAATCAGAGCCAGAGAGGGGAAGGCTGAGGGAGTAAATACCCATCCCCCATCCCCAACCCCACAGTGCTCTCCAAGCAACAGTCCACTCTCCCGCTGTGACCCATGGTGGGTGGGGGGAGCTCCAGAGGGAGAAAAAGCCTTGCAGTGAACGTTAGGGAATGGAAGATAATGCCCTCAGGCAGTTGCATATGTCGGCCCTTCCAGTCCCACTCTCGCCCTTCTTCAGGCTCTGTGCCCTTGGGAGGCTGACCTCTACGGACTGTGCATCAATGGCCCCCTTGTTCCCTACCTCTCTGTTGGGTTCAGCCAATGAGAGTCCCCAGCAGGAGATACTGGAGGGAGGAGGAGAATAAGGTGTTTATTCCCCCTGCTCCCTTCCCATCAGGTCACCGTGGTTGCCTACATCTCTCAACCAGAGACCACTGCTCCCTTCAGGGGCCCTCTCCACACAGCTGCACTCTCCGGGTCCGTGTGCCCTCCCCTCCCCTCCCCTCTCCTCTCTTACCCCTTCAGGCCCAGGAGTTGTAATGGCTTCTCCCTGTTGCTAGCCCTGGAGAGCTGCATAAACCTTGTTAGTTTCTTAAGCCCAGCCCCCATCTTTGGAAATAGTCCCTTTTTAAGTCTCTGCCCAGTTTGAGGGTGCTGTGTCTCCTGCTGGGAGCCTGAGTGACAGACAGGTCCATCCATTCACCAGCACGGTCACACACAATCCTCCACGGATCACCATGCTGCTGTGTTATGGCAAACGCGCTCGCACCCCTTTGTGTGTAGTTTCCTCAACACATCCTTATTTGGGGAAGACTCCATAAAGAGGGTCAACTTTGAGCCAGGTCAAGGGAGAAGTCAGCCTACAAATCAGTAAGCAGGCCCAGATTGCCAAACGAAACTAAACAGAAGCTGCTCACGGAACTGCCAGCTTAAAGAGCCGTGACAGACACACAAAAAGGAAAGGCGGCAACGCCACTCACAGAGTAAACCTCAAAACCACGCGTGCTTGTCTCACATCGCTGAGATTTATTCTTCCTGAATGTATACATCAAGGAACTGACCCTATATGCGTTCATTTTGCGGAACTCTACAAGTTCTGGGTTCTGTGTGAGTCAGCGTGGCCCCCTTCCCTCTACCATCAGGATATTTGAATAAATGTGCTCCCTTTTTTCATTTAAAACTTAGAATTATGTTGCCAACGCCTCTTCCTGAGAAACAGGTGTGTCCCCCGGGAGCCAGCAGCCCATTACCTTTCTGAGGGGCCGCAGGCACGTGCCCACCTGGAGAGGGCAAGGACGGTGAATGAGGGGGACTGAGGGATTGCTCACAGCAATGTTTCCCCTCAAACAGGCCTCCTGGTGCTGTTAGACTGAGAAGCAACAGCATCTACCAAAATGGGGACCCCAGCTGCACTGTGACTTGTTAAAGAATGATGACATTTCTAAAAGAGATCCTTTTCCCTTTCACATTGGAAAGCTTTGCTGCACTCTTAAACGATCTGACTGCGTCTCAAGGACTTGTCGTAACATCTTCAGTTGTACAGTGTAAGCCAAAGTCAAATGCAGCATATATAGAGAAGTTCATAGTATCGGCAACTTCCCCAGAATCCAGCCCCTTGCCACTGTGAAGCGAGGAGAGTGCCATGCTTGTGTAGGGTCAATGAGAGGAGTCTTCCTGAAGGAGGTGCCCAGGGAAGGCGCAGAATCCAGGAGTCAGATCGAGTCGAGGCTCTGAGGAGCTGGGAGGAGCTGGAAAGAATAATTTCAAGAGCTTTAACTGTCTCTCCCATAGCCACCCAGCCCCACCCAAACCCTTCGACATCTACTTCCTTTAGAGGGGCCATTGTGGAGAGAAGGTGCAGGGGCAATATTTTGGAATCAGGCTCCACTCGCTCCTACCCTGGAAGGGGTGGGGGCTCCTGGGGTGAGCTCCCTCGGGCCTCTGTCCTTGGCTGGGATCCCCACTGGTCTGAGCAGCTGGAATGGAATGTTCCTGGGATAAAAAGCCTGCCCCCTCCTCCACCTCTTCCCTTATGGAGCTCCTCAGGGACTGTCATGGGGGGGGAGAAGGGGGACTGTTCCAGGGATGCCTGATATGGCGATGCTCTGGAGAAGCAAAGGCCCACACTGCCTGGGGGCTCTGTCCTGGCAGCTCCTCCTGGGCTAGGTAGGTTGGCTCCACCGAACATTTACAGACCTCCTCTATGTGCTAGGCACTTAGTGTGACCTCTCATTTAATACTCAGAAATAATCTCCTCCCTAACTCCCCATAAAACACACACACACACACACACACACACACACACACGAAACTGGCTCACAGAAGGGAAGTCATTTGCCCAAGGTCTCCCAGCTGAGAAGCACCAGGTCAGGACTAAATCCCAGGTCTGTCTAGTTCTAAGACGGGACACTTTCTGCCCCACCATGGAGCCTGTCACCCTCTTCCTCTGCCATCCCAGGCTCTTTGCTCTCCTTGGCACCAAACACGCCAGCCCACGTATGCAGGGAGAGGAGGCAGCCTCCAAGGCAAGCCCAGGCCCTGAGCATCCTTGGCCTGCCCTTGCCTGAAGCCAGGTGTGCTGACTCAGCCTGACTTACCCCCAAAGCCCAGACAACAAAGCAGGGCAGCCAGCCTCTGGGGGTGTGCCCAGACCTTGGAGGGGTGGCAGAAGATGCCACCTTCGGCCACCCCTCCAATGTCTGATCACATCCCTCCCCAGAACCAAGGACCAGGGTTCACTGTACCCAGACTCAAAGGGTGAGAGTTCAGAAACCCTCATTAGCCTGATAAATGAAAAGCCACATAGCCTAATGTTTAAGGTGTCCCCCACTCAGAGGCTCTATGTCCTTGGGCAAGCCACCTGCCCCCCCCCCCGACCCTCAGTTTCCTCATCTGTGGAAATGGGGCTAACTCCTACTTTGCAGAGTAGCTGGGAGGACTGAAAGAGATAATGGGTGTAAAGTGCTTAGCACAGTGCCTGGCATAGAGGTGGTGGTTAATATATTATGCCACAAGCAAGGAGTCCCTTCCCCCATCACTCCTAGCCAGCGTGCGGTCAAGGTCTAATGTGGGAAGAAATAGGCTGGGGATCTCCCAGCTTTCCCAAATACCTCCTCCCGTGCTGGCTGTAAAGCATGGGAGGAGGTAAAGGCTCTGCTTCTCCTTCAGCTCGGGGAAGACCGGGACCCTGGGTTTTTCTCCAGGGACCTGGCTGTTAGGGGAAGGGAGCCTCCTAGAGACTGCCCACTGCAGGCCTGGAGCACTTTAGCTGTGAATTGTCGCTTCAGCCTAATCTCTAGGAAGCCACCTTGATTCCCAGGTGGCAGCGGGGGCAGTGGCAGGATGGGGTGCTCTGATCAATTATCAGGGTAACAAATCTGGGAGGAGTGAAACTACTCTGGGCTTTTACTCAGACGGTGACAGCCAACAGGGGCAACCTCTCTCTCCAAGAAAGTCTTTCCTGATGGTCCTTCCCTCTGAGGTCAGAGGCCCGCCCCTTCTCTCAGTGACCACCAGTACCCACACATTCTGCCAGACCTTTAAAGCTCAAAGCCTGAGAAGCCTGGGCAACAAGGGAAGAGGCTGGCTGGAGGCGGGGACACTGTGGGTTCCCACCCTGCTCCAGGCCTTGCCCGCACGCCTGGAGAAGCAGCCCACACTGCCCTCTGGTGGCGCCGCCCAGAGGCGCCTCACTTGTCAGGGACCAGCCAAGAGAGCGAAAGGGCTCATCCACGGGAGGGGCAGGGCCTGACTAAAACCCTGAACTGGTCTTCCAGCCCCTCACTTCCCTCAGCTGACATTCCAGATGCACTGGTGGCAATCAATGTCCTCAGGGCACAGATCCCCCAGGATCCCCTGTACTCAGCCCAGTCCCCAGGGCTAGAATGCTGGGCCATCTAGAAAGTGTTCAGGAAGCCATGCAGGGTGGGGATGCAGTATATAACCAGGGGCTATAGTTACTTGTGAAGGCCTAAAAACAGCCCTCCAACATGGCCAGGGCAGGCTGCCTAGAAGAGGGCTGAGAGACACGAGTCCTCGAAAACAGAGACCCTCTGATTCAGGGCTACTTCTTGAGCCCCTGGACTGAGCAGAGATCAATGTTTGTTGATTGAGGAGAATATGAAGCCTTCTAGAGGGGCCCTGGGTGGGCCAGACAGTGGTGGGAAGGTGACTTTTATTAACTGGCTGAGGAGTAGTGGACAGAGCACTGAACCAAGAGCTGGGGTTCAAGTCACTGAACACTGTGTGCCCTGGCCGAGGCCCTTAGTGAGAAGCGTGGGACATCTGGAAGTGGAGGGAGGGGACAGGGCTGCCTGTGACACTAGGACCAATCTCCATTTCCTACATATACCACTTTCTCCAGCAAGAGCCATCTCTAATTCCCTACCCTCCCCGCCCCCCCACACCAAAATCAGGACAAAGCTGATTACCAATAAATCCCAGAGAAAGGCAAAATTGTGGTGACACAGAGCACTTTACACCATTAGCTAAAAGCTTCTCTGGACCAAGTGTCCCTCTCCCATGCAACCCAGAAAACAATCAGTCCTGGCTGCAGCCCAGCACTGAAGCCTGAGCTCCTCCCTGTGTCACCTCCAGGGAGTCCTTGTCCTTTCTGGGCCTCTAGATCCCAAATGACCCAAGTAGCTTTGGAAGGTCCTCTCTCTCTGGGGAGGCCAGAGGATGCCAGGGCCCCTCACTGCTCTCCCAGTCCACAAGCTCTCAGAGTCTGTGAGACCTCCTCCTGGACTTCCCTTCCCCAGCTAAGAATGGGTTCAGGAAGTCCTGGCTGTTAGCTGAGAAACCAGGCAAAAAGTTTGGTCTGGGGAGAGGAAGAGTTAGCTGGGGGAAGGACAGGTGAGGGCCCCTGGGTCTCTGCCTTTCAGAGCAGTGCATCTGACCCTGAGGACTCTGGGATTACACCAGATTCCTGTGACTCTTAATTATCTCATCCTACACTCTTCTCGCCATTCCTAAGCCCTGACATGAGGAGGGACAGCTACATTCAGAGAAGGACTGAGGAAACTGGCCCAAAGACAGGGCAGAGTTGTGCTAGGTCACACGGCAGACAAGCTGACACCAGTTCTATCTAGCCCCTGCCCCTGGACAGCAGACAGAAACTGCGAGAAGGACACACACAGGCCTAGGACCTAGTTCTGTCCCTAGCTGACCTTGCCACTCCGTAAAATGAGGACTTTAAATCAGCTCCTAGGCTCCGTCAGCAAAAGCAGTGCCTGTTTCTAGGTGTGATATAAGAGAATAAAACATTCTTCCATGATTTATGGAAAAAGATAGACCTCTGCCCTGTGTTAACCTCACTACAACCCTTCCAAGAGGTGAAGATACCCACATCACAGACTGATAAGTGAGGCTGCAGTCAACTCAGCCAGTGAGCAGCAAAGCAGCAGCCGGGCCATTCACAGCTGAGTGGGGCAGGGGAATGGGGGGCCTGAAGGGCGTGTGGAAAGGAAGAGAAGCAGATCTCATTTCGGGTCTGGCCCTTTAAGGCCCCACTTTCTAGAATCTAGAAGCCAATGACATACCTGCCCCCCTGGGGCCTGTTAAAGGATGTCACCTGGCTCCATCCCTGGCAGAGCCATCTTAGTGACAGGTTGGGAGGGAGCCCCTAGGAGAGCTGGCAAAGCTTCAGGCAGTCACCAAACACCCCACCCTGGTCATCTGAGTCAGACTGTACTCTTAGCGAAGCTGCATGAGGGCCTGAGAAAAGACCTGTCTCCTAGAAGTGGAAGGTCCTAAGTATAAGTATGATGGGAGCAAATCCATAGCCTCTCTGGGATTCCATCTCCCCGAATGGGAAACAGGGGCTTAGGAGAGGAGAACTCAGAGGTACATCGCTGTGCCAGCCCCCACCCCATCCTGGGGCCTCATTATTCTGGGCTCCCGGATGGTAGTGCCAGAAAGCAGCAGCCTCAAGGGCAAGACTCTTCTTACAGCCCCAAGGGACCCAGGAAATGCAGCGCTGGTGGAAGGTGAGGGTGGGGTGCTGCGTCAGTGCAGGAGGCTCCAACAGGTAAAAGTTTGCTGGCAAACCCCTTCTGGGATCTGAGCAGCCTCCATTTGTCCAACTCTATAATGGGGACTTGGTGCTACTACCTCATTCCGCCGGAGGTCTGGGAGTGGCGGCAACAGAGAGCGGACAGCTTTATTAAGGACCCAGCGGACTCCAGAAGCCCTAAGGTCTGGAGCCTTGCACCGCCCCGCCCCGCCCCGCCCCGCCCCACGGATACACCAGCCGCTAAGACCGCACCTCAGTTTAGCCTTCTTTACTGGGCCCTCGGCCCCCCGACTGTCTCCTCCTGGGGTCGGGCAATCTGTCCATCCGCGTCGGTGACGCCGTCCATCCAGCCGGCGTCCACAATCCGTCGGTCGGCACCTCGGCGATGGCCTGTCGGGGTGGCCAGAGGTCCCGGCGCGGAGGTCAGCGCTGGGGGGAGGCGGGGCCGCGGGGCGGGCTCCGGCGGAAGGGCGAATCGGGCTCGGGGCAGTGGCCCCGCCGCAGGCGCCCGGCGCCCCAGGGCACGCAGCCGCCCAGGCCGAGCGCAGAGGCAAGCAGCGCGGGCGGGCGGCCGCGGCGGCCGCGGCGCGAGCCCTTCTTGAGGCGTGACCCGTGCGCCGCCAGATAGAGCTCGGCCTGCGCCACGCCGCCGCCCAGGCGGCCCAGGCTTTCGGCGCGGTGCGCCAGGCGCAGCTCGGCCGCCAGGAAGACGCAGTGCAGCTGCAGCACGCGGCTCTCCAGCTCCGACACCAGGCGCCGGCGGCCCTCCACCTCCAGCAGTCGCCGCCGCGCTTCGGCCAGCTCAAGCGCGCGGCCCCCTGCCGCCGCCGCCGCGACCGGGCCGCCGCCCGCGCCCCCTGCCGGCCCGGTGCGCCCCGCGCCCCCGCTAGCGCCCTGGCGCCAGCGCTGCAGCTCCTGCCCCTCGGCCGAGCCCGCCGACTCCTGGGCCACTTCGGGCTGCGGTGAGGCCTGAGCCAGGGTCGGGGTCAAGGTCGGAGTTGGGGACGGGGGCTGAGGGGAGAATAGGCGCTCCCCGGGCGGCGGCGATGGGGACCCCGGTTCCGCCGACCCTTCCTGGGCCCCCGGGCCGCAGGCGCTGATGCGGCAGCCCGGCATCCCCCGCCCCCCGGCGGTCCGCAGCAGTAGGTCCGCGGGTCTGGCCGGCTGTCCCCCACGCTGGGAAGGATGGAGGCCTCAAAACAGAGAGAGACGCGGCCGTAGCCCCCACACTAGCGCCAAGGCAGCCGCGGGTGCGTCTTATAGGCCATGGGGCGGAGCGAAGGGCAGCACAGCCAATCAAAGACTAGCATGCCCTGAACCCTCCTCCCCTGCCCCGCCCCGTCAGGACACTGCCCAAACCCTTCAGCTCCCTGGTCCTTCGACCCAGGCTGCTCTGCTAGGGCATCCAGTCCCTATCCACCTCCTCCAAATTTTGGGTGGAAAGGGGACCGCATCTTCTCTAGCCTGGCCCCTGAGTCATAAGCTCTAGTAGCTAGTGCTTATAAATCATGGACTCCAGTCCCCACCTGTGGTAGGCTTTTGCCTGAAGCCACACTATGTGACAGTGAAAGCCTGAGACACAACTCAGGAGGCTTGTCTCCTTGCACATACCAAACGCTGCCCCTTGGCTGAATCGGCTCTACCTGGTCTCCTGGGCCGCAAACTTCACCAGGACCACCTTCTCCAATCTCCCTGCGGCCATGGAGAGGTTAACACAGATGGGCGACTGGCTTCCTAGTGGGGATCTGGCAGTGTTGGTTCCTCACCAGGCAAGCCCTTCACTTGCAGAACAAACCTCAGCACTGCTGCTGAGCTTGGCACGGCTTTCGCAAATCTCGGTGGCCCCCCAGGGGAGCCCCACCCCTCAGTGGGCACAATTCTTTCCAAGTCCCTGCTCCTGTCTGCTCCTCCCAGTAGGTGTCCCCACACCTATCACACAGCGGGAAACAGACCCAGAAGGTGTAGTGGAGCCTTGCCCAAGGTCCGTGGCTCAATCTGGACCGCCGAAAGGGACAAGCTCATCCATGCATGCCCTCCGGGAACTCAGATACCTGGGTCTCCTCACTGTCATTGAGGGGACGCTGCTTAACTGGGACTTTAGTCATACTGGCAAAACGATAGAACTGAGCTCTAGCCATTTTTCCCACAGCGGAAGTGATCTTGCCATACCCCCTCCAAACATTGACCCAGACAACATGACACTGCCATCCACTTGAAAGTGCCATCAGAAATGAAAGGGCTCTGTGTTGGGCGGTGGCAGGGGCTGGAGGGCCAGCAACCAGCTGAGACCAATTGGAAAGAACTGCAGCAGACCGTGGGCTCAGGGGACCTGCCGAAAGTGTGGCCAGTGTGATTACCGCCCCAGGCTGAAGAGGAGGCTGATGGGGGCGCTGCACTGGCTTGATGTGGAGGAGAAGGAGGACGTTGGAGCACGCCCCACCCCCACACCACCCCGCCCCACCCCCGCATCATGTTCTCTAAGTGCTTTTAAGTGCCTTAGATTGAGTGATTGGGATTCGTGGGCGAGACAGCTCGGCTCCTGAGAGGCAGCTCAGAAGGGGCTCAGAGAGGACGGTGAGGTCCATGAGGGGGCGTCAAGCTCAGTGAAGGGTAAGGGAGGAGGACTTTGAAGAAGGGAGTGAGGGGGAGGGTGTTCAGTGACGGGAGTAGCGGAGGCTCAGGGCAGGGCGAGGGGAGGGGCTCAATGAGGGAGGGGCTCAGTGAATGTGATGGGCTCAGTAAGGGGAGAGGGGTTTAGTGGGTGCATTGGTGCTAGAGGCTCACAGAGGGAGAAGAAGGGAAATTCAGTGAGGAGGATGGGGTTCAGGGAGTCAGAGGGGCTCAATGGGGATGACGGAATGCCCTGCTGAATGGTTCATCCCTTTGAATGGTCTCCTTTGTGTCATCAAACTTTGTGTCTTTCTCTGTGCAGAAGATCCCTCCCCCATCACCGTGGGGAGATCTACAGGTGTTTTGCCTGCATCAGGCAGATCACTGCTCCCAACTTCTGGGGATGAACCAAGAGGAACAAGACTAGGACTTACCCCCACCTCCCACCATCAGCCAGATCCAGAGAACCAGTCAGATCTGAGTTCAAATCCCACACACACTGCCCATCTGGGTTACCTTGGGCAAGTTGTTTCTCTGAATAGAAGGAGATACTCAACCTATATTTGTTGAATAGATGAACATTCTCTCTCCACAGTACCCCTAAAGGAGGGGCATCAGCAGCCTTTGTTCCTGATGAGAAACCAAAGCCCAGAGAAGTGAAGAGACTCGCTCAAGGTCACACAGCAGATAAGTGGCCAAAGATTCAAACACAGATGTGACCCACCCCAAAGTCATAGCTCACCTCCCTGCTGTTCTCTGATATGTCCCCTGTTCCTATCCTCTATGGCATTTCCCACTAGTCATATATAAGTATGTATTTATTTATAGTTTAGTTACTTAACAGTCTCTCCTTAGACTGGTTTTGCTTAGCATGAGATTCCCTGAAGTTAGGTAGAGTGCCTGGCCCCATAAGGCCACTCAAACGATATTTGTTTGAATTGAAAAATAATACAAGGGTAGACAGAGCTAGTTGAGAATAGAGAAGTCCCCTTGTTCATTCATTCATTTATCCATTCATTCTTTATTTCACTCATTCAACAAACTTGATCATTACCTTCTCTGTTGAGCTGGCTGCTGAAGGTACAGCAGTGGTCAGATGGGGCCCTGCCCTCAGAGAGCACACAGCCTAGGGAGGACACAGGTGACTGCAGTTCAGTGAGGTATCTCCTGGGATAGGAGAAACACAGTGGCTGTGCGAACGCAGAGCAGACACTGAGCTGGGTGGGGAGGGGATCAGAGAGAGTTCCCTGCAGAAGATGATATTTAAACTGAGACCTGAAGGATGAATCAAAGTGTGAGATGGATGCACAGATGGCGGAGGGACAGGAAGGGAGAAGGATTCAGGGTAGGAACAGCACGTGTACAGGATCAGAGGTTAGAGAGCTTTGGCATCTGCCAGCTTCCTTCCCAGCTTCCTTAATTGCCCTGAGCTCCATGCTCCCAAGAATGGGCAGGGGACACAGCCAACCACCTCTTAGGGCACAACCAGCCTGGCAAACACAACATTAGGAATTAGAAAATACACTTTTATTTATTATTTTTTTTTAATTTATTTATTTTTGGTTGCATTGGGTCTTCATTGCTGCACGCGGGCTTTCTCTAGTTGCGGCGAGCGGGGGCTACTCTTCGTTGCAGTGCGCAGGCTTCTCACTGCAGTGGCTTCTCTTGTTGCGGAGCACGGGCTCTAGGTGTGCGGGCTTCAGTAGTTGTGGCACGCGGGCTCAGTAATTGTAGCTCGCAGGCTCTAGAGCGCAGGCTCAGTAGTTGTGGCACACGGGCTTAGTTGCTCCATGGCACGTGGGATCTTCGCGGACCAGGGCTCGAACTCGTGTCCCCTGCATTGGCAGGCGGATTCTTAACCACTGTGCCACCAGGGAAGCCCTAGAAAATACACTTTTAAATTATAATGATTATTCTTTTTTTCTGATCTTCATCAAAGTTATGCATTCCTTTTGTAGGAAAGATAGGAAATAGAGAAAATACTAAAATATAAAAAAAAGAATAGAGAGGAAAAGCATCTGGAATTGGAGAGACTTGAATTTGAATTGAAGCTCAGTTCTTTCCTAGCTGCACAACCCTGAGAAATGCACTTTTTCTCTGTGAACTTCAGGGCCTGAGGCATGGAACCGCTAATACTTATGGCACAAAGACGTACAAAGATCAAGGATTTGTCCAAGGTCTCACAGCGAGTCATGTCTCTCTGTGGTCTGAGTCAGAGACCTTGAAAGAGAAGAGGCAGCCCAGGGGGGACCTGGTTTCAGAGTCCTGTCCATTATACACACTCTCCTTCCAGGACAGCAGCCAGGGGAGACAGAACCTTATGGAGGGAATGGCAAGTGCAGCTGTGGCCCAAAGCAGGATCCACTCCATCAGCTGAGAGTGGGGTGGGGCAGGAGGTTAAGGCTTGAAAAGTCGACTTCTATCCCAGCCTAGAAGATTCAAGGCCTCTGCTCAGAGATCCAACCCCTCCCTTTCAGTCTCTTCCTGGCAACCTGGGCTGGCACCCTCTAGGATGTGATATCAGTTTAATAATTTAGCAGATGCAGACAAAGATAGCAGCTCTGAAAATAACCCAGCTAGGCCCCAGCCTCCATCTCCTCTTTCCTCAGCAGACTCCCCTGCCCTCCCCGCAAGGACTCTGGTTGCCCCACATACCTGTCAGTGCCCCTGCCCGCCAGTGGGCACCTGATCCAACACCTCTTCCTTCTTCCAAACTTCTCCTCCCCCTCACCTCCCCTTTCTCTCCATTCTCATATTAAGAGCTTTTATATTAATTAGAGCTTAAAGGAATCTTGGGCTAGAAGTCAGAAAACTTGAGTTTAATTCATCATGTGGACTAGAGCAAGTCCCTTCTCCTTGCTAAGCCTCTGTTCCCACATTTGTCAAATGAAGCCGCTGGATTCCTAAATGTGGCATGAACAGCATGTTTGGGTGGGGGGAGGACAGCAGCTCAGACAGGGCACTGGATATCTTTCCCAGGAAGTCACAGCTGCAGTGTCAGCCATCTCAGTCAACAGCACTGCAACCCATCCTGCTACTCCAACCAGAGAGCTCACAGGTTTTCTTTTTCTTTCTTTTCTTTTACAATTTCTCTTGTGATGAAAAATTTGCCCTGGTTCTTATTCCTAGAATAAAAGGCTGTGACTTGTGTTCACAGCGGATGTAGGGCTCTGTTCGTTCCATGTGCTTTTGGGGCTTCATCACGTTTCTGACAAGTAGGAGTTTTACTTCCCTCTGGAAAGTTGGAAAGAGCAATACCCCTTCCCCCTTGAAGCTTTACTCGAATCACCCCACCTTTATGGGTCTCAGTTTTCACAGCTCTAAAATGGTCAGGTGTTGAAGGGTAAGAAGGACAAGGTTAGATTCCATGCTCTCTAGATTGTAAGCTCCAAAAGGGGTGAGTTCGAGTCTGCCTTTGTGCATTCATTCAGCAATGTAATTAGGCACATACCATGTACCAGCCACTGTGCAAGGTGCTAGGGGCACAGCAGTAAATAAGAAAAGCACAAACTCTGTTCCCACAAAGCTTACATTTCAGAAACCAAACTAACTAAATCCCAAGAAATGTGCCACGAAGGAGCAATAAAATACCTGCCAATATTTACCTAACACTTGCTCTGGGCCATATACAGAGTACCTATCCTTTGAGGCATATTATTAACACACTGCATTTTACAGATAAGGAATCTGAAGGACAGAGTGGTTAAGTAAATGCGGCCAAGGCCACATGGTCAAGGAGTGGCCAAGCTAGGATTCAACACCCAGGCAGTCTGCCTCCAGAGCCTGTTTTCAACCACTAGGCCGTAGTGCTTCCCTAGAAATCATGAACAAGGTCTAATCTGGTGACATGAGGGACTTCCCCGGGACTTCCCCGGTGGTCCACTGGCTAAGACTCCATACTCTCAATGCAGGGGGCCTGAGTTCGATCCCTGGTCAGGGAACTAGATCTCACATGCTGCAACTAAGAGTTTGCATGCCACAACTAAAGATCCCACGTGCCAAAACAAAGATCCCGTGCGCCACAATAAAGATCCCGCATGCCACAACTAAGACCTGGCACAGTAAAATAAATAAATGTTTTTTAAAAATCTGGCTACATGATAGAAAGGGGAGTCAAGGAGGGCTTCTCCTTAAGAGGTGACATTTAAGCTGAAACCTGAAAGATGAGCAGGAGTCAGTTATGTGGAATTGAGGAGAGAGATTTCCCAGCAGAAAAAATAGTATGGGCAAAGGTCCTGAGACAGAAAGATCAGTGTGTTCAGTGCCTTGTAAGCCAGAAAATGGGGAGAGCTGAGATCAGAGGAGCTGGGTCTGGAGGCCAGGTGAGGATTTGGGGTTTTACTGTAAGTGCAGGGGAAGCCTTTGAAAGGTTTAAGTGGGGATCAACAGGATCTGATTTGTTTCTAAAAGGTCATGCTGTTAGCCACGTAGAGAATGAACTGAAAGGCAACAAGAGGAGGAGGAGGGAGACCAGTTAGGAGATTACTGCAGTAATCCAGCTGAGAGAGGATGGAGGCCAGGGCAGGAGTAATGGCAAGAGGTGGGAGGAGAGACGATTTGGATTTTATTTGGAGATGAACTGAGAGGGCTTGTGGATGATTAGTGAGGGGGTGAGTGAGGTACCATTAGGTGTGGTACTCTTGACTGAGATGGGAAAGACCAGGGGAGGAACAGGTTTCGTAGAGAAATCAAGGTCAAGAGGTTTTCTTTTCTTTTCCCCCTGCATGATAATTGCTTCATTACAAAAATAAGAACAAAAGAAGTCGGGACTTCCTTGGTGGCGCAGTGGTTAAGAATCCGCCTGCCAATGCAGGGAACACAGGTTCAAGCCCTGGTCTGGGAAGATCCCACATGCTGTGGAGCAACTAAGCCCGTATGCCACAACTACTGAGCCTGCTCTCTAGAGCCTGCGAGCCACAACTACTGAAGCCCACGTGCCACAACTACTGAAGCCCACGCACCTAGAGCCCGTGCTCCACAGCAAGAGAAGCAACCGCAATGAGAAGCCCATGCACCACAATGAAGAGTAGCCCCAGCTCACCGCAATGAGAGAAAGCCCAGCAA